CTTGTAACCCCACATAGTGGCATGCACATTGCACATGCAAATCTGTAATTAAATACTTCTCTTTTATCTTAAATTGCCTTGTAAATTCTTTTTTTCTTCTTTTTTTCTTTTCTTTAACTTACTGAGTGAATCCTGTATGGTTTTCTAAGGTGGCACTGGTCTGGTTTTCTACCCAGTTGAACGTCGGATGGGATGAGCTGGGATGACATGGATGGTTTGCCATTGCTTCAGAGGCAACAACTTTTGCTCAGCTGACACATGGATACTTTAAAAATGTATCCAAACTTTTGTAAGGAATTTAAACCAGTGGATGAAAGCCTGATCAGCATTCTTGCCCAAAAATATTAATTTTTTTAAATATTTGTACTTACAGTAAGGTTAGATTTAGGTGAAAACTTTTCCAAAACACCCAAGATAGTAATTTAATCAAATCCTATTTCATTTCAATCTGCTTGCAGTTTCTCGGACGCTCAGTTTGAGAGCTGAGAACAGATCTCTTGAAACAACTTGTCTCTGCTGGGCTGATGGAAACAAATGGAAAGGAGAAAATGAAGAGTCATAAAGGAAAAAAGAGAAATGGATGAAAACAGAGAGGGAGGGGGTGCAACAGCTGGAGACACCTAACCCATGCCTTTCAAATATCAATTTACTCATGCTATTAAAATACTAAACTAGTTTAAGTCAGCTAAAGATGGAGCCAAACGTGTTTCAGGGAGTCAAATTGTAATCATGAAACAGAAAATCCATCTTTGCTGATGTTGCATCAGAACTGAACTGAGTCAAGCAAATTTCAACAGGAAGATGCAAACACATTTAAAATATAATGCAAACTGTTATCTCCAGTGAATACTGTTCATTGCGTTAATTTGGGCTAGAAATAGTTTATAAATTATTTCAGCTGGTCTTATTACTCTTATAACTTGCGTGCAGTCTTCCTATAAAATTCCACTTTATTTCTGAAACCTGAAAATAAACAAAAGAGTGATGAATTTCTTTGCGGAAAACGTATTAGTCGGTGATAAAATCTGCTCAGCTCCATAAACTTACAGGAATGGACACACACACACACACACACACACACACACACACACACACACACACACACACACACACACTCTTCTGTCAGACTGATGATGACGATGAAGGCTCGAGCCTGCAGCCTTGTGTTCACAAACGGTATTACGTGTCGTTGAGAATGAGGTGCTGGAATGAGAAAGGAGAGTGAAGTGACAGCAGAAAAAATGAGGATGAACACAATGATTTTTTTTTTTTTGCAGAAACTTTATGGAATATTTACAGAGGAATTACAGAGCCCAAAAACAGCAGATGGAATGAGACACGGGGAG